TCTAACGCACGTATTTTACCAACCGACGGTCGCGCGCCTTCAATACCATTTCCAATTATCACTGCGCACCTTGGACACACTTTGGGGAGCAATACATATTTACATCGCCGCCCGAGGTCTTCATTGAACGTGTAGTGCTGACCAAAATAAAATGCTAACCTTAGTCTCGAACGCTCGCCGCAGAGGACGATTTCGAAGAGGCGGTGCTGTAGGTCACTTGAGATAAAAAAGAAAGCTATAGAAACGAGCGTCGTAAAAAAGGGGACCGACATTTTTATTCCTACCTTCGAACAGAAACGAGTGCCACCCACTGCATCACACAGCGCAGAGGCCAGACTCGGCCACCGCGCGTATTATCACTGACGTCCGATGCTATGCACACTGAGCTGAGCTGACTGACCACAGACCAACGTTACTAAAACACTCAGTTGGGAAACTCGCCGTCGAAACATGGGCCGCTGGCGTCCACCGAGACCGAGCTAAATGCGACAACAGCGCCACTCTTTATCGTTTGTCTGTACTGTGGTCACCTTGAGCTTTTTGAAAGCCTGTTTTTGCGTAAAAACAACCGGAAAAGACTCTTTTTGTATGAAATTTATTGGAGTTTAGTACAAAAAGAGGGTCGCGTTATGTTTTTAAAATCTTTAGATTGCAGGGTTTTGCGGCACAATTAATATTGTTTTTATACAACCATGTCTCGGCGGGGCTTTCAGGTAGCGCGTCCCGACCTAGGTGCATTTTAACTTCGGTAGTTCGACGCGGTGTGTCCGCCGGGGAGACGGGGGTGGCACCCCTGTAACCTCTTCCGCTGTATCTGTTCTTAAAGCGAAATAGAAGCCACGTGCAGTTCCTCGAGTGACCGCTGCGGGAGAAATGGTGGCGTTGTGTTCGTCATTAGCTCGGTGCTCGGAGACAGATTTGCGCCACTTTTTTAAAGCTGTCTCTATGGGAGTTTCCCAACTGAGTGTTTGAGTAACGTTGCCACAGACATACCAAGCGCGCACGAGGGAGGGCGAAGCTTCCTCCGCCGGGAGAACACAACACATTTCGGGGATCTATTTCACGCAGCGCATAACGCGGGCCTTTTCACACTTCGATACTGGTGCCATCTAGAAGTTGCACATTCAACCACGTCACGAGCCGCGCGCCATCTGGTGGCTGAAAAGGACGAATAAATAGAGGTCCCTCTTGAGGAGCGACGTTATAAAAATATTATCAGAAACGCTTCCTTCTATCAGCGCTTCGGGAAAGAATATTTTATCAGGAACATTTTGAAGTAAAAGAAAAGTTTTTTGTGAAGACCCATCTTTTCTAAACTCTTAAGAAAAGTCTTCACTCTGGAAGCGTCCCACTGGATTGGCGTTTTACCATTGCTAGCCCCGTCTTTAAATCAACTGACCCAAGAAGACTGTTTTAATATCGCCAGTTGATTTAAAGACCAGTGTATCCTGAAAATTAATGGAACCTGACATTTTTTCTAACATCATGTCACACCTGGAGCAGATCAGCTTGTTCTTTGTTCTGATGAACACGGTTTAAAAAAACAAAACGAAAAAACGGTTCTTTTTGAGTTTGACTCTGCTTTGCACAAAATACTCGTGCAGGATTACAGGACATTCTATTTCTTTTTTTTATTTTGCCAAAGCGTTTGGTGCGGAACCTCATGAAAGATTATTTTAACGCTTCCATGGCTCCAAAGCGACCAATCTGAAGTAAATTGGATTTCAGCCTTCCTCACTGACAGAACGCAATCCGTAATTATTAACAATTCAGTTTCCTCCCGGGTATCCGTGATTTTTGGTGTACACCAGGGGGGCGTGCTCGCACCGCTACTTTGTAACATTCAATCAACCATTAAACCGGAAAATTTATTCTCCAACAGATCACGTCACCTTTCAAAATGATCTGAATAAAATCAGCGAATCGTGTGTTACGAGGCAACTGAAATTTAACTCGAGTAAATGTCGAGTATTAATAGTTACAAATAAAAAAAAAGCATCACCGTTTCAGTTAATTTCAGCAAAAAGTTCTCCTGGAACGCGCACATAGATAGTACAGTAAAAATGCATCCCGCAAACTACGTTTTTTAAACAAAACATTCATTCCGCTTCTTAAGAAACGAAACTTTTTTTTTTTATCGTAAGTCAGTTATTACTCCGAAACTCGAATATGCCAGCATGGTATGGAATACTCACCAAAATTATTTAACCCTAAAGATAGAAGATTTACCAAACAAGGCTGCGTTTCACGTGCCTCGAGTACGCTCCCTTAACAAGTGTCTCAACTGAAAAGAAACCTTTACGCTAAGCTCTCTTAAAAAATTGCACGCTTATGCTTTTTACAGAAAATTTACTACAGCGAATCACTTTTCCGGGCATCTTTCTGTATACCTGCACGGTACATAACCCCCAGGTTTAATCACACATGAAAAATTGAACCAATTAAATCAATTGCTAACTTGCTCGTGTTCTCTTTCTATCATTATGTACAAAATATCGGAACTTTCTCCCTTTACAAGCAGTGGCTCAATCCGATCCTATGTTATTAAGGCAAAACTGCACTTATTTGTTTAGTTAATTTATTTGTATCCCAACGTCAATGACACCTTGGTCATTGAATATCTACTCTACCAAAGTGCTCATTGTTGTATTCCTTAGCCGACAAAATCTCTGTATTATAATTTTGAAGTTTTGAGATTTAGTAGTAAGTCATTGGTGAATATTTATTTAAATTGTCCGCTAGTTTCTTGCTTTTGCTTCTTGCTCTTGTACATGTTACTATCATGACTGTTCCTTCCTTTTTGTTCTCCCTCCTAATGAACTGCATCATCAGACGCCTTTAAAGTAAATAAATGAAATAAAATAAAAAGATCTTGCGCTTACACCAGTCTCTACGTATTAATAAGTGAACACATTAAAACTTACCATCCATCGAAAAATAAGTTAAAAAAACACTTCATACATGTCGTTTGTAAATATTTGTATTCAACATACTGACAGGTTTGAACACGAGCACATATTGTATTAGCAGCGAGAATACAGAAGGCATCTGACACCGATAACAATTTTATGTCAGAATCCATAAAGTATAACGTTTTACGAGGCGCACATTCTGTAGATTAAAAAGTTCAATTTTTTTTGGTATATTTCGTGCAAAAAGAAAAATGAAAGACGCAATAAAAAGAAACCATACATAATGATGTAGTGCGGAAAAAGTTCTTAAAGCGTTCCCTTTTTCACACAAACAAAAAAAAATCCTTCAGACAGTTATTTTAGGCGAAATCATATGTTTGAACAACAATAAATATATTTCACACCGTTCCGGAATAGATCTTCTCGATGATGAATTATCGAGCAAACCGTCCTATCATTAAGGAGAAGCTTGCAGTATTCTACGCAGAATCAAACATAACCCCCGTTGTGGTGCGTGTTTGAATAACAATAATTCAAACCTTAATCAACGACTATGCAGACGCTCACTCCATACTTGCACAAAGTTGCCACAAATGCTTGAATCGCACAGTGCATACCGTAAAGAATACCTATTCACAAAACTCGCAATAAAGCGCCCTTGTATACCATCTAAGCGCACCTTCCTCAAGAGCTCGGCCGGGGCGTGAAAGGAGTCGAAGCGAAACACAAGGAATAATATATCTTCACCTGGGGCCGGATCGGCAAAAAACGGCAACGACCGTGGCGCCGTTGTAAAAACAGAGCAACCCTCGCCCAACACGCGCGAAAGCGCCGCGACTACGGCGAGGGCAAGAACTACTTCTAAATAAATCAGTGAAGTGAGTGAGTAAGTTTATGAGTTTGTTGAGGGGCGTGAGTTTGTGAGTTGGGTGAGTTCGGTGAGGGGCGTGAGCTCGGCGAGTTCATGAGTTTGGCAAGGGGCGTGAGTTCGCGAGTTCGGTGAGTTCACGAGGTCGGTGAGTTTATGGGTTCGTGAGTGGGTAATTGAAGGTGAGTGTGGCCGTGATAGTGAACGCGAGTGAGTTTTTACTTTTATTAAATTTGATTGAGCGCTGAGTGAGTGAGTTCAGCTACAAAAGCCAACATCTTTAGGCCAGCAATAATCAGTCAAACACAGCCCCATCGAGCAACAGTGGCAGCCGCCATTAATTGGGCACAAAGCGTGAGGTTGGATAGGAGTCATCGTCGAAGGATAACGCAGCACCGTTTTGCGGATAAGACGTGCCGAGTTCACTCCAGACGGATCACGCCTCCCTCAGTCTAATACATGCTAAGAGTATGTGCTCACATCATGGTGGACTCAGACTAATTGGTGCAGCCGGCACTAGATGGCTCTTACTACCGAAAAGGGTCGATTGCGCACGGATAGTTTATTCAAGAATTGATAAGATGAGCTGGCAAATTAGGGGAGTGTCTGAGAATACAGACGACGAATGATAGCATATCGAAGAACGTTGTCCAATTCTGAAACGAACTGTTCGTCCACAAGCGAAGCTACTGTACTAGTTCTTTAAATTGGACTTTGTTTCCTGATTTTTAATTTATTAAATGGCCAAACAAAGAAATGCAATTTCGTGTTAAACAAATCCAAAGTCGCATTTCCTTATAGATAAAGTCAGATAGGCCCGTTTTTATAGATGAGATAGTTCTTCAGGTTACGACCGATGAGTTCAAGAGTTTAAGACTTTTGATTAAAGTAAAATAACTAAAATATCTGGAGTTTTGGCTACTTTTAGTGTCAAACGCATTCATTATATATATATATATATATATATATATATATATATATATATATATACATATGTATATATATATACATATATATATATATATGTATATATATATATATATATATATATATATATATATATATATATATATATATAGCATTTCGACAACATCTGCTATGATTTCTTCTTCTATCTCAAATTACCACGAGAAAGATCACAGTAAAAACATGATGCATCTTAAACTTTCGTTTATTCAACGCCATACGACAATTATATCAGCAGCTACTCATATTGGAAATCATTGTATCCAGGGGCCCCACGTTCCATTCAAGTTTTCAGGATATCCTCTGGGGTCCGTCGGCTTGTTTAGCGGAGCAATTGAGGACGAAGCGTAGCTCTGCAGTCGTTGCTTCAGAAAATCGACAAGCTGAAATTGGAACATACAACTATTTAGTTCAACCACAAACTAGCTCTTTGATACGAATAAGGAAAACGTATATGTCTAGTCTCTTCTTCGTCGTCGTCTATAAGCGCTACTATGCCCTCGACATCACAGAAACAACTAGCCCAGCATTTTGCATTGATAAGTTTCCAAGAAAAGCTTTTTTTAATAGTCGTCACGCGATCAGCATCTTAATACAAAGCCACCCAAAACAAAAAGTTAGAGTCTTAGATTTTTTTTTTTTTTAGCACTTCATGGCATCTGTTTAGTCTTCTCAGGGCAAGTGATATTTTAACCTAGAATTAAAGTGTAATGCTCCATTTCGTGCAGAAAACACAGTGCTAGAAGTCCGGATAGGTGTGATGAATGCCATAAATAGTGTTCTATGCTTTAAGTATGTATCAAAAAATCTGTGAAACTAACCCCTTAGAATGTTTGATCAAAGTCCGGGACAACTGAAAAAGTTTTCTCGGACCTTCGTGTTATTTATTTGTAATATGCACATTCAGCTAGCCCACATTATTATTTTAGTACAAAATTTCAAACTTCACGGAAATATATCCTTATGTTCAGTCGCCTTGGGACACAGTCGTTGTTCTGCGAAAAAGACAACCGATAAGAGAATACCTCTGACTCCGCGAAAATCATTAGGCCGCGGAGCCGAACGCTTTTGCGGAGATAGAAGAGCTGGACGAGCGCAGACTCTGGGTTTTTTGCCGCCATCTTTATATGAGATTGGAAGGGTTGCTGCCGCCATCAATCGTCGTGCACAGCCTTCAAGACTGCGGAGAGATTCGTTTTTGGTGTCTCGGTGAATCCGGTATCTCGGTGCGTCAGCAGCAGCCTTCTCCCCCGGCGCAGCACGAAATAGCGACATCCGGGACGGCACGACGTGCAAGCGTTCTATCGGACACAGTCTGGTCACGCATCTAGGGAAGGATTCGTTGCTGCTAGCTCGAAGCGCAATCCAAATGAAAGAGTTGAATATATTTTCCTAGTAAAGTATTTAAAGAAACCTATTGTCCCAATTTCCATCTCCTATTGCTATCGGCCAACGCAGCACCCATGTCCCTGCTGCAGGTTACGAGACGCCAATGCGAATCAATTGACGTCACAAACGCGCCTGGGCGGGTAAGTTTCTGCTTGAAGCCGACAATATGGACACCTCCGACTCCCATCCCGAGAAAAAAACAACAACAACGATTTTCCTTAAGCAGAGTTGTCGGTGGTAACGAGACAAATATACATGTATGTTCCCTGTTTGTCCCCGGAAATGGTGTGCATAATAACGGGGTCTATATAAACGACACGTGACTGTAAACCATTCGAACCTGGAATATGTGAAAGAATATAGGTGAGGCAAAGTAAGAATGTGCGACAATCACCCACTTTCCTGTACACATTCTAGCGGCGTAGAGAGGTCAAAACGACGTTCTAACGCATACTGGAAGTGACCACATTCAAGATGGCTGCGCCCTTTTGGAACACGTGTATAGACGCATTTCGCACTTCGGGTATCCGAACGCGTTTATGTTTATTTCCTGTATCAATGTGCGTTTTCCTAATTAAAGGCAGAACAGAAGTGACATTGGCTGGTTCGACACTTCTATGACTTTACCCTGATATTGAACCTATTCCGTGGTGTCAGTTGGTCGCAAACAGTATGTTTAATTTCCCCACGTTACGCTGCATGTCGTCGGTTCGCGTGTCTTCTACCAGCGAATGAAATCGCTTTCACGAGAAAGATTCAGGCAAGTTTTTAGGAGGCCCATTGGATTATTCTGATGCACTAAAGTCGCTGACAGGATGACAACGGCATGGCGTCTCTTTCGAACGCCTCCAGACGCTCGTTGCCTACTGCCGAATTTTCGCTGCCGGTGCACACGCACCGGACGCCGAGGAGTTATCGAAGCTGGCACTGAAGGCGGGACAAGCGAAATGTCGCTGTTTTACTCCTGTCAATGACTCTAATGGTTTTCACATTAGGGTAACTAGCCTAACGTGATCATTGGTTTTCAAATTCTGTGATCTTCGGTATTTGCATTTTCTCCCACAGCTTGCGAGCAAATGTGAAAACCCAAGACCACGGATATGTCAACATCATCGCAACGCAGGCAGACTGCTCGTCTGCCCTAACACTAACAGTTGATGACGTTGCTACATTCTGCTACCATTTAACGAAATGGTAGAAATTCGCCCCAGGTTTGCCGCCTATAGTTAATTTTACTTTATACATACGGAAAGTGTTAGCAGCACGGGCGTCGCTACATGGCAGGATGGTTACGGTAAGCTGATTGAAATTTTTGAAAGTTTTCAATAATACTTATAGTAAGAAAGTATTCGGGCCCTATTCGTGTCTAGTAAACCAACTGACTGTTCCATACTACGGAATGACTGAATAAAAGCGCCAAATAGGTTTAGAAATTATTAAAAAGTGATTAACTCGAGGTGTAAAATATAGAAACTATATCTGAAAGCCAAGTAGTCTTAACGTAGATAGAAAAAAACACGCGCAAGGAAAACTTCGGTGGTGGCGGACACAGCAGAAAACGCACACCTCTCACGAGAAACTGGATGTCACCTATGACTGTAAGGTCACATAATATCAAGGTGGCAGCGCCCGTGAGTAGCTGCTGTAAAGCATCGATAAGAAGACCAAGCGTCCGTTCCCAAACTGCGTTTTGCCCCGAAACTAGAATTAGTATAATTAGTCAAGAAATTTGAGTTATTTAACTAGCTAATTAAACAGCCATACAGATGACTGCGTGAACAAAGGTGGTTTCTATACTAGATTTTATGGTGTGCCTTCGGTATTTTATATCTTTATATACTAACGTTTCACAATATAATATTTCCTAACCATCTTGCCTGCTTCTCGCAATGAATCATTTTATCCTACTTCATAAAAGCTCCCAACTCTGCCTAGGGTTCAAAAATGCCTAACGCCTCATATGTTTTTTAGTTCTCATCATTATGAAAAAGAAAAACAATTCACGATAATTTTAAGGACAGGTAAGTATGTCCTGCAAAACTTACGCATTTCAGAAGAAAAAATAAAGTGCGATCGGTGTCCGATTGTGTTATAGCACCGCATCTCGTAGCACTTAAGGCGGAAGCTCGCGTTGCCCACGCAAGTAATCCTGGATCAAAACTCACCCCTACCGTTTCGATCTGGACAAACATCCTCGACTGGTCGCGTGTTCCTACTACGTGATGCACCTTAAATTCCCCAGGCTCACACTGGTATTGCACTGGCTAAGTTTCCCATTCAAAACTAAGACATCAGACGCCCACTGTGCCTGACTAACTTCCGGCTGTCTAAACATACACGCAACACGATTACGCAAAAAAACAAGAGCTGCCCAGATTCCAGTCGCCACCAGCTGAGGTGCTTGGTGGTTGGTGCAAGTTAGGGTTTGATTTGTTCCGAATAATTATATTTTCAAAACTTCAGATGCCACTTTTAACCCATATACTTGAGCACGGAGCCTTGATACGGTACCTGGAACACTTTCACGTCTGCTTTATTTGCCGTGTTCTTCAAAGTGATCGCTCTAATTATCTCTGATGACTCCATAGAGGTGTAATGATGTCTCCAGCCGCGACCTCGGAGGTGTCACATCAGTTTTAGTGGATGCGGCAGGGGCTTGTTGTTCTGAAAGTTTGCTTTTCAGCTTGACAGTCTCTTCAGCAGCCCGTGGCTGGGACACCGCAATGACAGCAACACTGGGGTTCTCTTGTACCTTTTTCCCAGTCTTCCAGCATAAACTGCCAGCATCCCGACACCCCACAGCACAACAGGTGAGCTTTTTCGAGCTCATTTGTTGCGACTTCGGGGCCAATTTCAGTTTATTGGCGGGATAGAAGGCTGGAGACACCTGTCGAATTCACGTCGTTTACTTCGTTGCACCTTGAGTCCCGACGCAGTCGACGCTACCAGCAGATGGGAACAATTAAACGGCATCAAAATTGCACCATTATAGTGGTCGTCATTTTCCTCTACGTGTTTTTTCTAGCTGAACCAATCGTAAAAACGTGACGCACCTTGCGCTTTTGAAGATGATTGATTTGTCCCATTATCTCCTAGCGTTGACTGCTTATGGATTTAACTCGAAACAAAGTTCAGGAACCGCAGCCCCACTGCCTAACGGAAACTTCCTCTTAGCCATTAGCGCTAAGCTTTAGCCAATAGGAATCTGAAACTTCGGTGGAGAGTTTAAATGGGGTTGTTCTTTAACATAGGAACAATGGTTGTGGTGCTATAAGGGTCAGCAAAATTTATATATTTAGTGGCTCCCTTTTAGGCAGAGAAAATGTCCCATGCTGTCGCCTGCCGTGGCTTTTGCGGTGGCGCAGCCGCATTGGTAAATGTGGCAGGTGCCTGTTTTACAAGAGGTTTGTCTACGGCCCGACAGTTCACTGGAGATTTAGCAGCAAGGGGTTGGGACGCCGCGATGACGGCGAAACTTGCGTTTCCCCGACGTCTTACCGGGACTTCCAAGATCAACCGCCAGAACCGCGACATCGTTCAGTGTAATACGTCAGCTTCAATGACGCCATTTGTTGTCACTCTGCGAATGCGTTTGGTATATGGGCGGCTTGGGACGCTGAATTTAGCCGGAAGGAGACAGCAATTAAAACTCTGAATTTCATATCTAGACTTCACATTGTCCGTTCGTACTCAGATGCACCCAGTTCCGCGTTGGGTTCCGCGTTGGAACCCAACGCCTTGGTTCAAGTTATGAAGTTTTTCGGACGACAATGTTAGTAAAAGCGATATATTTAATGGTCTCCAATGATGTGGAGAATGTATTTTTGTGAAACAATAATTCTATCTTTATATTACTTTACAGTTTTGCTGAAACGTGAATTAGCGCTGCATGGGTCATGGGCGTATCTGGAAGTGACTTATTCGAGCGCTCATGAAGATATAGAGTAAATTTCAGATTAAAATCATAGCATTAGCAGTAATTATAAAAAATATCTAAAGATTGACATACAATTCAATACCTACTTATTTCAATGTCAACTTCTTTATAAGTTGTTCCCTTCAATACTTCCCGACACGTAATTTTTCTTTTTCTTTGTGAAATGGGTAGTTTTCACAGGAAACGGTCTGACCCGGGTTGCTTAAAATGTGCTATACTATATATTGTCGCCAAACAATCTTACAGGTTGATTTATATTTCTTTTAAATGAGATAGTTAAGTTAGAAAAAGGCAACGCCTTTCCACGTTAGTCATCCAGGCGAAAAACGCCAAGACAGCAGGCTGTGGACGCGGCACGGAGTCTGATTTTACGCCTATGAGAGCTAAGCTGCTTGCTCACAACGTGGTCCCCCAGGAGTTGTCAAAAGATGGCAACCCGAAGAATGATGATTACATGAATGCTACATAGAAAGGTATACTATCTGGAAACTCACTCCAGCCTCTGCGTTTGCAATGTTGTTTAGTTCGCACGGATCCTTGGTTAGGTCGAACAAGTACGGAGGAGCTTGCGACACAAAGTTTTTAGGCCCGTTGTTGCTGACGCAGTTGACGGTCGCTTTCTGCCTCCAGTTACGCGGCAGCAAAAAGTTGCCCCTGTTGTAGAAACCTTTCAAGACCCTGGCGGCCTTCGACTGCGCCATGGCGATTTCCAAGTCTCCGTATGGACGAGAGCCTCCCGTCGTTCGAAATCGCTGGTCGAATTCCCCATCCTCGTACGTTCCCAGGACCAGCTTGTAATTGGTGTACCGTAGGGCCGAGTTTAAATCGGTGGGATCGATGTTGTACAGGACCTCATAGCGCGAAGAAGGCAGGTTGTAAGAGAGTTGAGTCCACATGTCGTAGCCGTCCACTTTCCCCAGGCTTACTGGGTTGCCTCCTGTAACAAAACGATTAGAAAAAAAAAAATAAAAACACAAGATAAGTTTGCGGACAGGATATCACTTTTATTGGATTTGTGCAATCGCGAAACGCGCCTTCAGATCCTCGGGGAGGACAAGTAATTGATTTCGTAAATACCTTATCAACGGTCTCTAAGTCAAACATTTGCGTAAGTCGCACGCATGTGTCATAAAGGACCTGTGCAACGATTTTAACGTTGAAAGACGTTGAATTCTCTACTTTTGACGTTGTTTATTTTGTCGCGAAGACAGAAAACGCATCCTGTTCCTTCGAAAGGTTGCGATTCCGCCGAGAAATCGCGAGGCGAAATTGGAGTATTTCCCGACCTGCAGCCGCGAGCGGCGGCCGTGACAACCACGCGGCATGACGTGAAAGGGGGACTTGCAAAAAGGAAGTTGTGAAAATACCTTTGTGTTAAAAGGTACTTTTCTATAAATCTTGTCGTTCCAACAAAGATATAAATGCGTCAGAACCTAGCATCTTCGACGAAACTTCTATTTTACGGTTGATTTATTAGCGCCATCTATCCGAGGCCAACAAAACCGTCAGCTCTGTCTGCTACGGCGAACAGCCGCCAGAAGTCGGAGGGGGACGCGATGGAGTGAGTTCTCGCCGCTCACTGATGGTTCTAGAGAGAGAACTTCGACGGAACCCCGCGCATCCCCCGTTCAGGTCACAGCGCACGTAACTCGAAAGACGGTGAAGGAGCTGAGAGGTGCCGAAAACCTCAATCTTTGTTAATCTTAAAATAAAAACTAGGACATGCCGGCAAAACTGTTGTTTTTTTTTTCTTCGCTTTAGAAATGTCGAGACACCAACTACCCAATTATATGAGCAAGGCACCGAAATTATTGCACAGCTCCTGTAAGGTCAGGGGAGGCTATACTCCATTAAGCAGCCGACATATCTGCGTTAAGATCGCAATATATGCGCTGCCGTGAGCAGGCGTTATTATTCTTGTAAGAAGATTTAACAGAAAGTAAAACTCCGATAACAATGCTCAGCTCTTAAGTTCGAAACGTAAAGAAACGAAAATGCAAATAAGCCGCACCGTTGAAAAAAACTCACGAAAAGAAATTTTTAGAACGAAATGGTGACTTATACATAGTATGTATAAGTCACCATTTCGTATAAGTCACCATAGTCCTAAAATGCATACTAAAGCGACCGCTATGACTAAATTTAGTATTGAAATTTAAACTTCAAACATTTCCGGTCTTGTCGTCTACGAAACTGAGTACGAAACACGCTAAGAATAGGCAAAGATTGATCTAGAGAAAAATCTCCTTAGGTGGTGCTTTATTGCAGATAAAAGCCTTGGTACCTAAAAACTAAAGGTAAACAAGAACTTACTAAACCTTTTGTACAGACAGCAGTAATTTCACAGTTAGGCCGCTGCGAGAGTAGCATATGTTAAAATACAAAGGACAGTCACGGTCCCTAAAGGCGACAAACTAAAAGTTGAAAAAAAAGTAAATAAACCACCGATATGATATGCAGATGAGATACTCCGACTTCGTGAGAAAACAAAAAGGGTGTGGTGCAGCACGTGAACTTTCGAGATCCCCAGTGTAGCGCCACCCACGTTACCACTGAGACCTTACAGCTGTGTTCGAGACCTTAGTTTGGTATGTGCCTGTTGAGTTAGGTGTTATCTAAATCCGCAGTCAGACTGCTCGTGCGTCATTCCAAATGCAGTCTGCAGAAGTTTCTAAGGCATGTCTCCTTTTTTGCGTACGGTCCTTTCACAGTGGTGATACAAGAACTGTCTGCACACACGTTGAAATCATGAGTGAACCAAGTGTGCTTAGAACATGCTGAAACGTGTCCGAAACACGTTCTATCACCATGTCCGCGAAGAACCCCGTGCCTTTTATATTAGGTATATTTAGCAGTGGTACCACGGCTTAAGTGTTGCGACTTGTACGGTTAGGAATGGCGACGGAAGCCAACAGCTGCGCAGATTTCTCACTGGCGCACCACAGCCTCCTCACAGCTGAGTCCCGAGCAACTCAGCCCAGTTCAGCAACACATATGTTATATGCCCGCCCAGCTTGCCTCGCACAAGTAAAAGTTACGTCCCGGAGACACCCCACTTTGACTCGCATGCTCTCCTTGCCGCTTGGGTTTAACTTCTCGTCTCGGGCTCAGCCATTGATCTCTCTCTCTCTCTAATCGCTCGGTAATTTCAGGTTTCGTTGTCCTTCACTACGTACAAACGCATCTACTTCCGCTGGCCTCATGAACCGGGTGTAATATTATGTTATCTTTTTTTACCATTATGTACGGGCGTTATCTCTGTCCGAACGTATCCGCGCAGGTGCTCAGTAGAGAGAGCTGAGGTTCCGTGTTTTGGGATTATATTTCTCTCCAAAACATAGGTTTTTCGTTTGTTTTTAGAGTAAGCTTTTTTTTCTACAGATTTTGTGTTCTTTGATAGAAATATTTTGCGTTATTCGAAATGTCGGTGTTTCTCGGTGCTTGTGTTTAAACTCAAGACCTACCGTAGCCGTGGCCTAGTGGCACGGAGCGTCCGCCTCGGCTACGGACGGTGGTCGGTTCGAAGCCCACCGTCGGACACCCACCGTCTAAATGGGTACAAACGTCCCCCGGCCCCGGCGCTCGGGTTTCCATCCAGGGGATGACGTTTAGGAGAGGTTCGCAAACCCCGCTAAGCGTAGCTGCGAACACTTAACCGCAACCGATCGTCGGTTGCGGCGGTATGCCGCCTTCGGGTGGCGTTGTTGCACTCGTGCAGACTCTCGTCCTTGGGGAACCGCTGGATCGAGCGCTGGGGCGACACAGACTCCGGCTTGGCACGCGGAGCAGCTTTTGCACACGCGTGGGCTTCTGGAGCATTCGGCGTAGAAGGTTCGGCGCGTAGAACATTCTAGCTTCGAATCAACGAAACGGTTCTCGAATTTACCGGAACATCACATTACAGTGTCACCAAAAATGTGTAGCCGCGGCCAGGAATCAAACCCATGCCTTCTGCGTGGAAGGCAAGCGCGATAACCGTTAGGCCACGGCCGCGCTGCCTAATTGGTGCGCGGCATTATGCGTCGAATTTTACAACCTTCAGTGAACACGTGCGTTGGCCCGGATACGTGGAAAACGTTCTAATATTGATAAGAAAAAGAAACGAAACATCGGGCGTGACTCCCGAATAAACAAGCAGCCTGGCGTACAATTCTGTGGTGGTCGTGTTCCAAATCATATCTAAATATATCTGCAAACGATTAACATCAGTCTCGGGTAAAGTAACCATGTATAGCGCGAGCTGGGGCCGATTACGCGTTTTATTTGCTGCGAAGTCAAGCGTTTTGTCTTCTTGGTGAGGTTAAGGTTTCATCTTTTTTTCATTTCGATAAAACGGCTTGACGTTTACATTTTGGCGTTCATCAGTGTTTTTCGAAAACATGTATCCATAAAGGTAACGCATACCGGCAGCAGAGTAGAGAGTAGGAAGCCAGTCGGTGATGTGCAGCATCTGGTCGGACACCCTCCGGTTCTGGTTGAGTAGAGGACTCCAGATGAAGGCGCTGCCTCTGGTGCCCCCTTCCCAAAGTGTCCCTTTTGCTCCACGCAAGGGGAAGTTGTAACCTCGGTTGGAGTGATCGCCGAAAGGAAGCCCGCCGTTGTCGGTGCTTAAGACGATGATGGTATTATCCAGCATGTCGGCTTCATACAGGGTCTCAAGCACTTCCCCTACTGACTGGTCAAGGGCGTCGACTGTTCCTGAGAAGCCGTCAAATGAACGTGGATCGATGACGGCAATAAAAAATGCGCCAATTTTCAGCAACAAAGGTGAGTGTGTGAGGTGATTGTGGCACATTTCAAAAACACAATTTTAACATAAATTTTTTTAAAGCATCAACAGTGAAAAATTGGTTTGAAATTTCACTGCATAGCAAGGCAGTCTTACTGTATTATAGTACATCCCAATTTCACACGAATACAAATAATGCACTGTAATTATCGTGATCAGTGATAACTTTAGCATTTGGGCTAATTACTTGATATAAATCAAGTTTTGGTCTATAGTTTGATGAGCAAACCATGCAGTAACATTTCGGCATGCACACTGGATTAAGTTTGAACAATAAATATAATAATAAAGATCGTTAACACAAAAAGTTTGCGCTTGCAAGAAACGTGTACAACCACAAAAAAGTGAAACTTGAAAGATGATGACTAACTCTTTTGTAACAGCTGTTCATTGAATGCGTAAATAGATACAATAGAAGTAATGTACAATGCAGGTGAAGATTGAAGTCATTCGGGGCGAAAGTCTTTGGGCGGGAGCAATGCGTATCTTGAAATGCTGCATACTTCAGAAACGTCATTATATTTTGTCCATGTCTTACACTACTACAAAAGTATACTGCTTCAACCTAAGTATTTGAAAAAAAAATCATACTTTGAAAAACGACTTGACAATTTACACGTACCAGCAAATATGGTTCTGTTTTCTTCTCCTATGTAGGGAAATTTCATAATGTTTTCCTCCGGCGCTTCAAGAGGTCCATGAACCGACTGATAGGCCAGGTATAAAAATAACGGCTGCGAAAACAAGATAGAAAGAGAAAATGTCAGCGACAGCAATGCGCTGTGTCAACTGACGTGTTTAGAGAGTGTGGCGTAGGAACAGACCGTGCCAAAACGGGTTGCACTTCTGCAGTACATCGCTATAGAATACGTAGACATAAAATAGTAGTCTTTTATTTTCAATAAAGGCCAAATTTTACTGATTACGTTAAAACGCATTTCATGAGTGTAGCAAGCAACAAATGGCGGCAGATTTTTTTTTTTTTTTTATTTAAGACAGATTATATGGTTCATTGATTATGTCTCTTGTCGCACCGTAGACGTTGGGACGGCATATGCCATGCCTCGTCTGAAGGCCAAACGCATCCTCTCGTTTTCGCAGAGGATTCTACAGAAATACTGTAAAAGGCTTTTTGAACTACTATGCTGGGATACATGACAAAGACAGCTAAAACACTTATACTAAAATTGTGGTAGGGATCAAAAATACATTTATAAAATAGATCAATTATCTGGAAATACAAATACAGGAAGACATCTTGCTGGGGCAGAAATACACATACTGATATATATTTTTCTACTAACGAACACAACGTTTTATCTTCTTGAACTGCGTAGAAGCTTTGTGATGGCCCGGAAATGTATATGAAGGGCAAAAAGCACGATCTATAGTGCTCTATAAGCATAACATTCTTAACGAAGTCATTTTTCAATACCAAAAAAACAATTACTCGATTTAAGATGCGGCTTGAAATCTGACCTCGACGTCTTTCACTGAAATGAAATATATAAAATTAACATTTCGCATTTTGCGTTGTAGTAAGGAAAGCTAGCTGATCTTGACTTGACAGTGGCTCGAGCGCTTTTTTTTTTTATTTATCATTTTTGTGAGGCAAAATCACAGGAACCTCTAAATCAGCTTCGTTTGCACCCAAATTACCTCGAAAAGTCATCTGGTTTTGACCAGTCTCGGCGCCTTTTTTAGCATTGATCTTAGGACATCACTAAGGAATGAAATTCCATAAAATAGTGATATTTTATTTCACAGTAAAGAGCGTCAACAGCGCCTTGAAGTATCATTATACAGAAATAATCGACAACATAAATTAAAAATCAATAATTGTATCTTTTTTTTTTTAGAATAGAAAAGGGGGAAATATAGGATCCGAGATAAAGCGTACTAGATTAAACCTGCTCTTCAGGCTCTGTGCTGAGGTGAACGATCCCGTGGTAATTTTTAGAACCAACATTTGCCCCTAATATTATCACGATGCTAGAAATACGCCTGAGAATGTATTTCGATACAGAAATACCAAATACAGCTTAAAATTTTTTTCGCGATACAGAAATACTAATACAAAATGTGTTTCTGAAATGCAGTGGCTCCTCTCCCGTCCTCCCAACCTAATCACTCGCAAGCGCGGGATAAGGTTAGGAGGTCGGAAGAGGAGCCAAGTGGGATATGCGCGAGTTGAGAAGACAATAGGAAACCAAGTCCTTTCGAGTTACACATACAAATTTTCTTGGGGCAATATGCGCCTAATAAATGAATGAATCAATCAATCAAATAATAATGAAATTATTTATTTTCTTTCACAAGAAACATTACAGCTGGGACAAAAAGTTGAGACAGGTGCAGCTTGACGAGGCCGCAGCTCCAAGATGGCGGTTAGCATTCGACGTCTGTTAAACTTGCAGTAACACAACGATAGAGGCAATATATAGATATATATACACAGAGGCGTACTTTTAGCTCAATGTACAAAGCAAAACAAAATTAATCAAATATCAAACATTCCTTTTATATGTAACATTCTTGCTACTTGAATCTGGGAACCCACAACAAATCAGGATGCCCAAATGACGCACTCTGTGCACTGCGTATGCGTAACAATTTTCACCAAATTTTCTCGCCGCTCCTGCAATATGCGTGCAGTTCGATTTCTTTAAGTTATAATCCAGTCTGGCCTCATCGCTAACTATCATCAAATGATCGAGTAAAATTTGTAGACACGTCACCCGGAAAAGTAACTTAACATTTTTTCCTTTTACTCGCTCAAACAGCACCTAAATACGTTACTTGTTACGTCAAAAACTACTTTACTTCAACATTAACGAGTCTCGCTATTATAACGACCAAAAATCAATCGACTTTTGGGTGCAAAAAAAAAAAACGTTCTAGAGAGGGTTAGCATCAGCCTTAAATGTGCTTTACATCATTATACGTCCAGCGGAATCTTGAATTGAGGTTTATCGATCGTCTCAACAAAGGAAGTGCGATGTAGTTTCGAAAAAAGCACATTCTATCTTTAAATCGACAAAGTAAAATCTGTGGGGTTTTTTTGTTGAGAGGGACCCCAACAGAGATTTTCCAACGTTTTTCTGCATGCGTAACTAGGTGAAAAAAAATTGTAACCCCAAAAAAAGAAGAAACAGTGCAAGGGCTCTAAGCTGGCAGACTCATGGCGGCCCCTGGCGGCCTTCTGGTGAATGATTCAGGAGCAAGTCAAAAACAAGCATCGATGCAGATAACACAAAGAGCGGACATTGTAAAGGTCAGTCCATTCTGACGCGTGAACTGGATATAATGGGTCCAAATAGAGTTGGCTATGAGGATTCTCAATAAAACCGGATATATATATTCTACCAATAGTTAGATATTTCTCTAGTGATTTCATTGCCCATTGAGCAATTTATTTTGAATAAATTCCAGGCGAAAAATCAACACCTTGAAGCATGGTAGTGGATGGGCGAAAATCACTGTACGACATTAGATCTCAAAAGTTCTCATATTACGTTTGATTTAGAAATACTTTCGTGCTTCTTTAGAGCAAGGCTTCACAAAACATATGATATTATCCAGTAACCAAAATAGTTGCGTTCTTTTTAATAATTGTAAACCCTACAAACTCAACCTTTGCCGCTGCATTTCAATGTCAAACTCTATTGCAGAGGAGGCGAAAAAGTAACTTGAACCATACATACCTTCGCAGCATTGCGGGACTTGATGAGGAATTTGGCTCGCTCCGTAAACAGATGAGTTGAGTAATTTCCGGTTTCATTGAACAGTGGTTCCGTGTTCAGCCAAAAGTCGAGTCCAGTGCGATTGTCCTATATTTGAGCAAGTCAGAGTTTAAAAAAGTCAAAGTGCAGTCCAAGTGTTCTGTATTAATCATGATGCTTAAACCCCGAGACTGGGAAGGAAAGTTAGAGTCAAATTAGAAGAGAGAGAGAGAGTGGGGAAACGTGACACACAAGCGTCTCAAAAGTAAGCTAACAAAGTTTATTTCATACTACGCTTATACCTCCTTCTCCGAAGGTCTTCCACAGCGTCAAAAAAGCAAACAATCTTTTTTTTTAAGTGACCCAAATTCTAAGCCAGTTCGGTCCGAACACACCAAGGCACAAAAAAATAACAAAAGTCCTTAGAAGCAACCTGAACGACAAAACTAAGTCCTTTGAAAAACAGATACACAAACGATTAAAATACGATGTCACTTGAGGCCGCGGGTTCTTTGCATACGGAAGTTGCAAACTCTTACAAAGAAAATTAATAACGTAAACTGTAACTTCAGAATCAAAACCAAGACAGCAAACCATTGAAAAAATATGAGTCATTCAATATCACCTACAATTTCAGAAACATTTTAGACTGGTTTCCGAGTTGCATTGCAGCTTAATTGGGGCAATTGCCTAACATATTTATCCGAACTCTTCCTTTCATTACGCGTTTCATGTCATTAGGCTGTCTGGAAACCAGTTATTATCTTGAAAAATATACCCTGCTGTTATTGCATCCCAGTATATCTGTGCTTTATTCTGAATTCGACATTTTGTTCTTCAAGTTAGGTTTTTGCCCTGTTTGTCTATCATTAATACCTTGACGTCTGTCAGATATTTAAACCCATGCGACACCGGTATCACATATCTCTACTCCAGTTTTGCAAGACAGTGACTATGTGCTCCCAATTTCCACTAGACCAACATCATGGCAACACACAGCAAACCGCTCGGAAGAGAACTTATGAAGGCATTGGACGTTTACGCGAAAACACAGGATTGCATGACGGCTGCTTCCATCGCGCTACATCCAAAAGAAACAATGTAGTTGAGGGAAGCACCTCGGTGCGAGAAAACAAAACAAATAAAAACCTGAAAAATGGAAACGAAGAACAAACGAATAGGGAGGCCAACGAAGTAGTAACGTTTTTAACAAAGAAATACACAATTGTGATAAGAAAGCCGCAAATGCGGAGAACGAAGTCCAACGATTTTGAAGGCCAAGAAAGAAGTCATATTCTGAATAAAAAATACAAAATGAAAATAACAAAATGACAGGACGAAGTTTCAAGTAAGAAAGAGACGAAAAACAAAAAGCGGGTAAGTACAGATGCAAGAATGAAAACAAAATAAAGAAACACTTTCACACAAGGACAGACAGCGCAGCTTTTTCATCTTGCAACGAATATTTACAGATGTCTAATTCAATTAAGACAATATACCTTCCAGCGTAATAAACTGAAGCGTAAACGGGAGAAAAACCCCCTCAAAAAAAAAATCCACCCCCCCCTAAAAACACAAAAGAAAATGAAAAATGATCTTCTTGGAAGATTATTCTTAGAAAGAAGATATGGACACAACAAAAGTTGGAGATCTTCGTCTCTATCCCCTTCCGTCGGGCATTTATTGGGTCTTAAATCAACGATCCCGAAAAAAACTAGTTCTTCCTTTTTCAAGTTCCCAAACTGGTCAAGCATAGAATGGTTTGTCTCCTGCTTTCATCTTGCCGCTCCAATTCCAGTTTTCATTTTGTTGGCTTAAGCACTGTAAAACAACTTCTGTTATCTCCGTACCATATGTGTACAACTTTGCACACAGACTGCAGGGAATAGCAGCGTCAACAATTCAGTTGTTTTTTCGTGCAAGTTGCGCCATAAAAGAACACTGCCGAAGAGTTAAGAGAAACCAAGCTTCAAAACGATGTGCCATCAAACATTCCAATCATACCGTTCCCTATAAAGAGCGGGTGGTATACTCCATCCCCTTTGAATTCGGTGACTGATACATTGGTCAGATAAAGCGTTGAATAAGCACCGCTTAAGAGACCACAACCTCGAGATTTCCCGTGCTTCAAGCAAATCTAACCCTCCAAATGTGGTGCATAAACGCCTCTGTGCGAACTGTGAAACCCGTTTCCAGGGCACCAGCATAATTAAGAAACAATAACAAGCTCGACCGCCAGATTTTAGAGGCCTACATGATAGCTGGTGGCCAACACCACATCATCGCTCGTAGTGTTGGGTAGCCCAAGTTTGAGATGAACTACCTGAAACTGGAAGTGAATCAGTCAATGGGCTTATCTATCTCAATTTAACAATGTTCTTTTTCTTTCTTCTTTTTTAATTTGTCTTCTAGCTTAGCGTTGTTTTATTGTGCGGGATTTCCTTCCCGGGCGAATGTTTTTTCGTGTATCGTTTTAAGTTTAATAAGTTGTGAGGGAGATTGTACGTATTGAAGGTGGCATCAGTTGAAAGATCTGCGAGTATGTCATTTTCCTTAAGCGTTTTTATTCATTCTTTGATTCTTGAAGTTTCATATTACGGCCCTAATGTGCGTGGAAGAAAAAGCGGTGTATCTTCAGTAAATGGTTGCTAGTCAGGTAGTTTGTTTGTCTTTATTTCTTCTCTTTGTGTATCTTCCTTCATTTCGCTGACTACTTTCGGATAATAGTGACTATACACTGTACGTTTTCAAATCCTGTGCTTGCTTTGAAATATTGTCTGTTCATTCAAGTTGAAGTCCGAAGAAAACCGCGTTAACAACGAAACTTGCAGCACAAGCCTTCAAGTTGTGTGAGATTTCATGAATATGTGCAATAACAGCTTTCCGGTTCTTGGTGGCTGTTCTCTCTTCAATTCCCTAAACTTTTTGGACATTTGCCTTTTATGGACGAATAGTGATAGGCCTCATCTTCCAGACTCTTCCATTGCCCGTGCAACGCCCGATATATTAATTGGATGCATTACCTGTTTAAAGATAGCTTTTACCAAATACTTGACGACTTTGTCTTTGGCGATCTTTGAAGGACAACTGTGTCGAGAGAATGGGGTTTTTGTGCTAATTTACCGCATTCCCCAGATAGCCCACCTCCAATCGCTAAGCCGCCCAGGCAGCACACCAATGTTGGTCCAACATTGGCCTTACATTGGCAAACACCGTCCTCAATATTGGACAATACTGGAAGCGCTACCTCATCCAACGTTGGCCCAGTCATGGGTGCCAATGTTGGGACACTGTTCAACCATCGTTCCAGCCAATGTCGGCCCATCGTTGGTGCAAATGTTGGGCCATTGATAAATTATGGTTCCAGCCAATGGTGGTCCCACATTGGCAAAGACCGGCGTAATATTGGAAAATACTGGTAGTGCGACCCGATTTAATGTTGGCCGTCATTGGTGCTGATTTTTGGCCATTGTTGAACTCGCCCAGCTGTTTGCAAGTGCACTCGCCAAGTTATTTGCAAAGAGAAAGGTAAATAGACACAAGGGATTGTTTGGAAATCTCCTAAAAGTTTATTACACACAGCCTATTCTGTAGACAAGTACAAACTAAGCAATTTGTGTTATGGGAAGAGGTACTACTCAGCTGTTATATAACTGAGAAGATTGCAAAGCAAACAACATCCGGGGTGATTGCTGGGTAGTTTCCAGTCTCCCGACACCTGGCAGAATTTTTCCCCTGAAATTATACCGGTAGTCGCCCCTCATTGGCGGTGCAATCAGTTCATCAAACGACATTTCATCGACAGATCGTTTCATCAACACGCGATGTTTCATGAAAAAAACTAAGAATAGCATTTTTTTTGCAAAGAATTGTTGCAGACTCGCCATGAAGCGGCGTGAATGAGTGGGCTGGCTCAGTGAGCATGCGCCTCAGGAATACACACACTTTAAAAAGCCCCTACAGCGTGCAATTTGCCTAACGAATGACGAGGAAACGCGCGCCTCAGAAATACACGCGCGAGCTAATGCTCTACAGCGTGCTATTCGCGTAACGAATGTTGATGAAACGTGAATGTTGACGCAACGTGTAGTCACAAAGAGGTGGCCACGAAACGTATTTTCGCGAACCGCAGGGTGAGTAAGGAAGTCAGTATTCTACCTGCAGTTGTGACATTGTTTCAGACAGATAATGGCAGGCGACTGTCGGTAAGATTGCGGGAAAATTATTCTCCCGGCGGCCAGGAGATAGGCACTGCCTAATTCTAGAGGTTATCCGGAAGAGTACCCGTAGAAGAATGGACAGTGATCACCAAGTAGGTTGCAGTGTACTTACGTAGAAAAAACCGGACTTGAAATATGTAATCCTATGTATATGTCGACTCGGGCACTGGAGACCAACCACTCAAACACCAAAACTAGAAGTGATCCGTGAATGTTCAACACAATGTAGCACACGCTGCCGTTTGCCGAACCGAACACTAAACGATTCACGAGAATGTCTTGCACTTCTTTGAAGAAATCGATACGGGTATGACTTTCCGAACGAGATACAATTTACCACAGAAGCGAAATCCACAGCAGGCCCGCAAGCCGCATCGCACGCGAAACTAGGTCCGGTCTTCGCCGGCATTGCGGGTTTGTCAACCGCTAATGCGTCATCCGTCAAATCACGTGATCACGCATCTGCCGTTTTCCGCGCACAGAGAGCGGGTTTAAGCGATAAAAAGTATACGGTTCACTGGTCCGGCGAGTACGGACCGTCTACCACGCCTTCAGCTTAGGGGGAGAGAGAAAACGAGAAAAGTAGAAAGGAAGCAGGCCAGAACGGGGGTGCGCTTACAAAGGCTGATTTTCAGGGGCATCTCAACAATGAGCAGAGCAAGAGGATTTGTCATCTGTACCCAAGGTTGATAATGCAGTGGATGCTATGCGTGGCCTTAGGCTGGCAGGTTCCGTGCTCTGGCTTATCACCAGCTTCGAGACTGTAGTCTCGTGACCCTAACCGGAGACGCGATTGGCCTAAAACACACATAGCGTCTACCCTGCTGTCAATACTGATTGAACAGGACAGCAGTTTGAAGGCCAGCTTTTGAACTTCTAAAGAAGCTG